TGTGATAATATGAGTCTCCCTTTTCTGCAGTTGTGTGTTGTGAATGTATAAATTGTGTTTTATTTATGAATGTATAAATTGTTTTATTTATGAATTTATATCGTGTTCTTCCTTTCTGCAGTTGTGTGTTGTGAATGTATAAATTGTGTGTTTTATTTATGAATTTATATTGTGTTCTTATAAATTGTGTATTTTATTCATGAATTTATATTGTGTTCTTATAAATGGTGTATTTTATTTATGAATTTATATTGTAATCTCCCTTTCTACGGATGTGTATTGTGAATTTAAAAATTGTGTATTTTATCTATAAATATATATTGTGTTCTCCTTCCTACGGATGTGTAATATGAATCTATAAATTGTGTATTTTATATATGATTTTATATTGTGTTCTACATTTCTACGAATGTGTATTGTGAATTTATAAATTGTGTATTTTATTCGTGAATTAAATTGTGTTCTATCTTTCTACAGATGTGTATTATGTTATTTATAAATTGTGTATTTTATCTATGAATCTATATCGTGTTTTTATAAGCTAATTAGGAAAATAGATCCATTTCTTTGCTTCGTGATTAAACTAAATCACATTAGAAATAAAGCGGATTAAATCGAGGCAAATATGTATTTCTAATATTGTATTCTCAAAATTCCAGTGATGATGTAGTCATTATTGTGGAATGTTTCATTGTATTTATAACGATAATGTTAAGATGATTAGACAATATATAGAATATATGTAGATGAGAAGATATGTGAAAACATATATACTTAAACAATTAGATTGATAATAAAAAAGATCAATACAAACAACAAACAGCGAAACAAACAAAGAAAGTCAAATAACCCAGCTGAGAAAGAGGTAAACAAAACAAACAAATAGAGGTAAAGCAAATAATCAGGTAAACAAACAAACAATAAACAGATGAATAAGAAAATAGACAAAGGCAGTCAAACAAATGACTTAACAAACAAATAAACAAGTGGCCAGAGAAGCAAACAAACAAACAAGTGACCAGGAAAACAAACAAACGAAAAGATAAGGAAACCGATACAAAATTAGCGTAAATAAACAACCGAATATCCATACAAATAAACAAATATACATCAAAACAAACACGAGAACACAAACAAACAGAAATAAACAACCAAATATCCATACAATAAAACAAACCAACATCCAAACAAACCCAACACAAACAAACGAACATACAACCAAACAAAACACATACAAACAAACAAATAAACATTCAAACAACAGAACACAAACAAACGTAAATAAACAACCAAATATCCACACAAATAAAACAAACCAACATCCAAACAAAACACAAACAAAACGGAACATACCACCAAACAAAACACACACAAACATTTAAAGAACCAGGAAAAAACAAAACACATACAAACAAACAAACAGGAGAAAACAAAACACATACCACCAAACCTAAACACATACAAACAAACAAACAAACAGGAGAACCGACCCAACACGTGAGGTAAATAAGCCAACAAATATACATGGAGAAGAGGCATAAGATTCCCACCTTTCGGACCGCGTTTGGTATCGGTGGCTCGCGAGGTCATAAACAGGTGGGTCCTTAATACCAGCCTTGCACGGAGCTACCTGTGACCCAAGATAACCCCTGTGCTTCGCCCTACCCCCTACCCTTTCCTTCTCCCCTACCCCCTCTCCTTCGTTCTTTCCCCTACCTTCTCCTTACCCTTCTCCTTCGTTTCTTTCCCTACCCCGTTTCTTTCCTTCCTTCTCCTTCGTTTCTTTCTCCTACCCTTCACCCCCCTTCCCTCTTCTTCTTCTTCTCCCTACCCCTCTCCTTCGTTTCTTTCCCTCCTACTCCTTCATCCCCTTCCCCTCTCCTTCTTCCTTCCCCTACCCCTCTCCTTCGTTTCTTTCCTCCTACTCCTTCATCCCCCTTCCCTCCTTCTTCTTCCCTACCCCCTTCTCCTTCGTTTCTTTCCTCCTACTCTTCATCCCCCTTCCTCTCCCCTTCTTCCTTCCTCTACCCCTTCTCCGTTCCTTATCCTCCTACTCCTTCATCCCCCCTTCCTACCCCCCTCTCCGTTCCTTATCCCTCCTACCCTCCTCCCCTCTCTTCTTCGTGTCCTGCTCTCCTCTCCTTCTCCGCCATCTAATTCCTTCCTTCCTCCTTCTTCTCCGTCATCTCCTTCCTCCTTCGATCTTCTTCATCTTCTTTCTTCCTCCTTCCTTCTCCTTCATCTCTTTCCTTCCTCCTTCCTTCTTCTTCATCTCCTCCTTTTCCTCCTTCACGTTCTCTCTCCTCTCTCTTCCTCCCGCTCTCTTACCTCCTCCCTCATCTCCTCATCCCCACCCCTTCCTCCTCTCCTCCTTCCTTTCCTCTCCCTCTTCTTTCCTCACCTCTAGGCCGGTGGGGGGGGGGGGGTAGGAAGAGATGGAGAAGGAAGGAGAGGAGAGGGAAGAGACGAGGGGGAGGGGACGGGAACGGGGAGGTGGGAGGGTAGGGAGGGTCGAGTGTAGGGGAGGGGTGAGTAGATGGTGGGGGAGGAGGGGGAGGGGGAGGGGGTTGCCCTCACTTGACCGGAGGTAAATATGAAATATGTACTTGTTTGTATGTGACTGTGTTGGATCCATAACTCTCTCTTTCATCATGTACTTTCTCTTTCGTTTGGGAATATTTTCTTTGAATAGTTTCTCTCTGTCTCTTTGTTTCTGTCATTTTATCTCCTTTATTTTCTCTCTGTCTTCTTTTTTTCTTTGATGTTTTTTTTTTTCCTTTATTTTTATCTCTTGTTTATTTTTTTTTTGTTTTGTTTCGGTCGTCTTCCCTTGCTGGGTTATCCTTTTTGTTTGTTTGTATTTTTTTCCTCTTTCCTCTCTCTCTTTCTGGTTCTCTCCCTCTCTCTCTCCCTCCCTCTCTTCTCTCTCTTTCTCTCTCTCTCTCCTCTCTCTCTATCTCTTTCTCTCTCTCTCTTTGTTTGTTGTTTGTTTCTATTCTCCCTCTCCCTCCCTCCCCTTCTCTCTCTCTCTCTCTCTCTCTCTCTCTCTCTCTCTCTCTCTCTCTCTATCTCTCTCTCTCTCTCTCTCTCTTCTCTCTCTCTCTCTTCTATCTCTCTACTCTCAATCTTAGTCTGTCTACTATCCATACTTACTGTCTATCTATCTATCTATCTATCTATCTATCTATCTATCCATCTCCATCTATCTATCTATCTATCCATCTATATATATATATATATATATATATATATATATATATTATATATATTATATCTCTCTCTCTCTCTCTCTCTCTCTCTTCTCTCTATGAACCATATTAATTATGACAAATGTAGAAAATATATGAACGAGAATGAATATCTTCACAATGCAATAAATGTACTTAACCGGTTTCGAATATATCTCCTTGACAAAGATATATTAGAAACCGGTTAAATACATCTCTTGTATTGTAGAGATATTCATTATCTTTCGTACTTTTTCTACTATCTATCAATCTATCTATCTGCTTATCTGTCTATCTCTGTACGTTTATTTCTCATATGAACATATGTAAAAAATAATCATATGTTTCGTTTAGGTTATACATATATCATGATGGTAGTACTAATATTAGTAATATCATATAATAACGATGATAATGATAATAATAACAATGTAACACCTACTGGTTTACAAAAAGGAAAACAACAACACTTAACAACAAAACAACAAAACAAATCAACAACAACAACAACAATATCAACAACACAAACATCAACAAAAACAACTACACCATAAACCAACATAAAAAACCCAACTTACAACAACACAAACCAACAACAAACAACATTTTCACCAACAACACCACCACCCCACTGCCATACACTCAGACACAAGGGAGAGCACAGTACACGCATTATCACTGGAATTATATACTTTATCACATTAAAGCGTGTTATTAATAAGGTGTGGCTATAGAGGTGTGTATGGCGAGACACTGCACACAGTTCATTCAGGTTCCCCTTGCAACAACTACAACAACTGCAATGTTTGCAATGTGAGATTCGAGGGAGAAAGTGGCCAGGGGGTGGGGGTTAGGGGTGACCAGGGGGAGGGAGGGTGGGCGGGTGGGAGGGGGAGAAGAGGGTGGGGAGTGGGGTGTGACAGGAATGGGGAAGGAATGAATAGGAGGAGAGTGAAGAGAGGAGGGAGCGGGGAAAGGGAGAGGGAAGAGGAAGAGAGGAGGGAGAGGGGGAATAGAGTGGGGATAGGGAGAGGGAGAAGGAAGAGAGGAAAGGGGGAGGGGAAAGGGAGAGAGAAAAGGAATAGGGGGAAAAGGACAAAGGAAAGAAAGAGGGGGAAAGGAGAGGGCAAAAGGAGAAGAAAAAGGGAGAGGGAAATGGAAAAGGAAAGGGAAAAGAGAGAGGGGAAAGGAGAGGGAAAAGGGAGAGGAATAAGGAGAGGGGAGGGGATAGGGAGACGGGAAGAGAGAGGGAAAAGGAAAGGAAAGAAGGAAAAGGAGGAGGGAGAAGGAAGAGGGAAAAAGAGAGAGGAGAGTGAGAATAGAAAACAATTAAGAAAAATCTTGAGGGGGAGTTAGAGGATACGAAGATAGCGAAGACAAGGATAATAAAGAGAGAGCGATAGCAAAGAGAAGAAGAATACGAATAGGGAGAGTGATATGGAAAAAAGAGAAAAAAAGAGAAGGGAAAAAAAGAGAATAAAGAAGGGAGGGAGGGGAATACGAATAGGAAGAGTGATATGGAAAAAAAAGATAAAAAAAGAGAAGGGAAAAGAAAGAGAATAAAGAAGGGAGGGAAGGAAGGAGACTCGAATGAATGGATAATAAGGTTATCTTCTGTTATCTCTCGTGTTATCTTTAAGACTGATGTGAGTATGCATGTTACACTCATATCACTTTTCTGCAACATAACATTCATGTATTCCGTTAATTGGACTTTTAATCTTCATTATAATATAGATCAATATGATCAATGACATTATTTTCCATAACATT